ATGTTGTCGCAACGGCTTTCACACCGTTCATTGTTTCCTAGCTCTGGGACTGCATGGAAGAAGTGGAGGGGTGGCCGGTGTATGACGTGGCGCCGTGAGATGAACGATAGTTATGTCGAGTTAGCATCTGTTGGTACATCCCAGCTCCCTACGTGGAGGGTTAGTCCGAGAGATCACATAGCCCAGTGGCTTCAGAAGTTATCAGGTATGGCTCATAATCGAGACCAGTGGTGGCCATACTGTGGCTTCCTCCTAACTTCTCCTGCTGAAAAATAATGAGTGTTTTGTTTTTAATGCGCCCAGCTGAACTCCTTTCCTAATCACCCTATGCTGATTGTTTTTCTTTCTTACTTATCCACTTCCTATCGTTTATGTCTTCACAAATTTGTTATGATATTTTGTGTGGCGCATTTCTTGGTGCTCCTGCTGTATCATATTTGTGTTCTAATAATGATAATCATGATAACAATAAATAACAGATGACTTACCTCACATCATTAAGTTGTAAAGCACTATTTCTCACGATGTAACCCTAGTAAAAATGGATCAATACTTCACTAAAAGAATCGTCCATTTATTGGGTCACCTGCCTGACCATGAATATACAGTGCAGATGAGAACCGTATGTCGCATATATATATATATATATATATATATATATATATATATATATATATATACTAGGGATGCTCATTGGTGGCTTGCTTCGAGATGGTATTTCCTTAAGTCATAATGAGAAATCATGACCGGGAGAACAAACTAAGTGGAACTTGAAAACTACTACTCAAAGGTGGCGTTGGTCGAAGGTCTCATCATACCGTGAGTTGACAAGACTAGGAGTATATGGACCAGTGGACCTCAAACCAGTAGCTCAATAGTGACATGCTTGCGACGAAACCTGAAGGTCTTCGGGTCGGCCACTGGCGGGGTTCTGGGTGCGCACTGATGAACGAGACGTCTGTTCAGGACTCCCAGGTTATCAAGGCTTCCCCAAGTGATGTAATTTTGTGACGAATACCATCTTGAAACATATGTATATATATCTGTCACAAACCTAAAATAAGAAACTTTATGAAACAGTGGATAAAAGAGTATTTTGAAGACTTCAAGTATGTCATATTCTCATACCTTTTGGTTTTTATTTTACGTCCCAAACTGCAGGTAATTTGGGAGGGGTAGTGAATGATGATATTTTAGAGCCAAAGGGAAACTTTTACAAAATGCTAGTTCTTCAAGCTGCTATTTTTTCATGATGTAGTCTGATCATTATGATGGCTCACTTTATAGTCACCTATGAGCAATTCATATTGACTGAATCACACTAGCATGTAAATTCAGATAGGAAAAATAACATTTTTAGAATAAATTTTAAATTACTTCGAATACGATAACCATTCATAACTGTGTGCTACATGGTTAGATCATATTATCCGGAATTATTTACACATCTCTTACATAACTAGGTAAATTTATTGAGTGTTCCAATCGACTCATTTTAATTCAGTACACTCTAATTCCTTATCCAGAACTAAAGCAAGTAGTAATAGTTTTGATTCTAACTTTAAACATTCATCATTTATCTATAAAAAAGTGGTCAGTAGCTTGTTTCTTATTCTTCGTTGTAAGAAATGAATATTAAATACATCTACTTCCTAACACCATAACAAAGCTTTCCCTAGTTATTATTAAACAAAGTTGTATACAAGCATTTGAAGAATATTAACTATGAACTGCAAGTATATTGAGAAAAGGTTTTCTCTAATTCATTAGTCGTCTGTTCGTCAAGGAAAAAGATGGTGTTATATGCATATAATAGTACGCTAACTCAGATAAAATTGTTTCACACTCCTGAACAACGGTTATTGAGGAAACCTTAAATTGTGCTAGGATACTCAAGTGTTGTATCAAACAGACTCACCATGTATAATGTAACTAAGCATCACTTAAAGGGCATAACAAAGCAGTTAGTATATATGGAATTTCTCAAGCATAAATCATCCTCTATACCAAACATCCAAACACTCAAGTTTTTAAGTTCATACATAAATTTAAAGTGTTGTGCTCACTACAACTGTATTCTCCTAGGAAATTCCCAAAAGACATTTGTTATTTCTGTATTTATCTGCCAAGTTTACCATACTGAAACAGCATGTTTAAGTTGCTGCAAAGATTTTCAAATCATGGTGTAAATAAATGCTTTGTTTCTAATAGTAATGAACTCCTAAAATCAGTCCAATAACAAATATTTAACTCATGCTGTACTCTCTCCTTAGCTATGACATTTAACAAAAATCAATTTGCACCTTTTATAGAATAGTAAAAATCTACAGAAACTTTCATTATCGTTAGGAAAGCATAATAAACAGGTGTTTGCAAATATTGCAAGACAGTCTGTCATAGGAACCAATTTGATATTGACAGCTACATCATAAAGAGGTATGAACTCGTGTTTATTCCTTATACAGCCAAATGAGTTACCAAACCCTTAAGCCAGCGTTCAAATTCTTGATAATATATGCCCCATGCATTTTTTTTTCGTAATGAACCTTAAAGTACTATCGGTAGGAACAAGAAGTGAAAACTGTGAAGCAATTTATGAACATTTTTAGTAAATGTGCTACTAAATTTTATGTATAAGTGGCGTAAGCAATGTGACTTGACCATAGTTTCTTGAGTTTTATACAAAATCCCATTTCCATGCCTAAGCTTCATGGCAGTTCCGTTCTATAAGTCAGTAACAGTAAAATGGCATATGATCTTTCGTTTGCCTTGTGACTGTAAATCCAACCAAATTCCTCCAGCATTTGAGAGGACAAAGGCTTCAGTAAGAAAACTACAGAGCAGGTAATTAACACTTCATAATCCTAACAACTCTTTCAAACAACATATAAATTTACGTCTTTCCAACTTATGATTCTGGCTTTATCATCCGTTTCTTAGTTGGTCTAATTCAGTAAGTAAATTGAAAAACTTATATTTCTCCCTTCCGACCTAGTTTCTACCCGAGAAATGCTCCAAAATAACACAGTGAGTTATTCAATAATAAAGTCACCAGGTGTGTAACCACAAAATATGGTAATCAAGAAGTGGTTTTTAACGACCAGTTTGCGAAATAATTATTCGGGAACCACCCTTTCCTAACAAGAACGACAATAACACACGAAATATATTTGTAAAATTCCAATGAGGTAGAAAAAAATTCTGACGACGATGTCTAAAGAATAATACATTTGTGACTTTTAATTATGCTCAGATATTTTCAAGACGGCTTATATTTCTCGAGATATTTTCAAGATTCTTTCAATCCCTCTCGCTACATTTCACTCTGGTGGCATAAACAAAGTAGATACATAAAGTCAGTATGAAAGTACCGCTCCAGACCACTAAAACACTCAGTTTTGGAAAATCTTTGAAATAAAAGACTTGTATAAATGGTGAGTTAACACATACTGCTTTCCAGAAATCCAAAAAATTAATTGACCCATTTGTTTGGTAAACATTTTTGACCACATGGTTTATCTCTGTAAAAACTGTGTTCTGTCGCTCTTCAATAGAAAAACTGGCCTATGTTAATCCTTGCTGTAGATTCCGTTGTAAAGACCTAGTTTTGCTTTCAAGGCGTTCAATGAAGGAGCCGACACCACTTATATGGGTAAAGAGTTCCAATTGTTGACCACTGTTTCAGAAGCGGTCCGATCTCGATGCTTCATATATCCAACCAGTCAGTGTATCCAATGGAATTTCACATGCACCTACTTACGCATCTGGTCCCCTTGCTTTAGTTCAATATTGAAGCGATTTGCATGTTATTTGACTCATTGTCAATTGTTTTTTTAGGTGTAGTCTCTTTGCTGGATACTTCTCAAGCATATTAATCTAATGACTAATGCCTTTCACACTGAGCGTGTCAAACTTTATACACATGGAACCTATTCCCTTTTATTTCAACATACTGTTATCAATATAAGATCCAACAGTTAAAATACAAATCTTGAGTTTACAGTTCATCAATCTCAGTGACTCCTCAAAATGAGTACCGTGGAGCGTTCCGTGAAAATGAAATACTCTGATATGCAACAAGACCTTGTTATGCATGCATTTCATGGTTGTCATCGACGATTACCAAACCAGTTAGCATTTTCGTCAGGCGAAATAGAGCAAAGTTGAGCCATGAGTTTGAAGTGGGGGCGGATATAAAGCACATGGGACAAAACGTTGGGCCAAAGGGGCCATATAGAAAATTTCGGGCTACACTATGCCACTCGTAAAAGTAAGGGTAAGACATAGGGTCAAGTGAGCTAAACACGAGGTAAAATGCAGGTCCTAGAAACATTGCGCCAGAGGTAAGAGAAATGTTGCAAGACCCAGCGTCAGGCGCTTTATTTGGCCCGACGTTCTCTGTATTCAGTGACCCAACATTGTCCTATTTTGCCAAAGGAAACCCAGCTGGCAAACACTTTGGGCGCACTTTGAAACTTTTGGGGAAAAAACGATAGAATAACTTTGGGCCTGATGCAGTCAATGCATCCTCATTTGCGGAATTGTTAAAAAATTTTCCCGAAATGCCGAAATTGTCAAAGTGCACCCAAACTACCCAAATTGTCTTCACTGTACTCAAATCCATCAGACTGTCTGCAGTGCACCCAAAGGTCCCCAAATAAGGCATTATAACAGACAGTGAGTAGTGTAAATTAATAGAACTCGCATGTGTGGATGCTTAGAATACGAGATATGTAACTTTTTACTAACTTTGTGAAAACTATAATCTTGCGAAATATAATTTATTTTCGAGACGTGCACAACAGTTCCAAACTGTGGTCGAAGTTTATTTCGGAAACCACAGAAAAATGTCAATGTGCACCCAAAGTATTTGTCGTCTGGGAAATGTTAACCAAGCAAAGACATAAAAAGGAAATCGTCCGTGGAAATACACAACGGAGTGAAGACCAAATTTGACCTCATTTTTGACAGTACTCGGTAAAAACGGAAAAGCAACTTACTTTCTACCTTCACAATTCAACCATGTTCTAGCTTGGTCGTCGTCGACATAATTTCCTGTTGAACCAACATAATCCTCATCTTCGCTTGAGGATGTATTCAACATATTGTCAAAGAATTAACCCTTGTTCTGCAGCATTTAAGGAATATATTTTCATTATATGAATATATCTTCTATAAATCCCACAAAAAAATTTTTCATTTTTTTGCTGATTCGAGTTCATTGTAAAATGAAATACTTAAACGAAATTCACACCAGATGGGTGGTGAATAACTATTGAAATATGCAGTACTTTATGTTCTCCTTTGAAACTTGTCTCTTTATAGCGGACTATGCATGCGCTTACAAAATGTCAGAGAATGCTGCATTCCGATTAGTTCTGAAGAAATACAATGTCTCTGCAGGGTCACCATATTCAATGAGCAATATAAGTACAACAAACGTAACTCTGGTCAACACGGGTCTAGTATCCCATGCAAATATCGGTAAAATCCCACTTCCCCAAATGAGGAAGCGACAGTGAGATACGAAGCAGTCGGCATTCAGGAAGTAACTGGACTTTCATTAGTGTGATAAGTAAGAGGGTGGAAACCCAAGCAAGAACAAAGTAGGAAAACTACTTGTATGATATACAAGGAACAAAAGGACAGACTCCATTATCTTCTTGAAGTTCTCCGTGTCCTATTACTCTTAGTTAGATGAGAGAGAAGAACCCAACATGATTCTGTGAGGGGAGTATTGCCGGACACCTGGAATACCATATGTCTACAGAATTATGCTGGCTATCAGCCGAGCCACTAAAGGTAGACTGTCAACAATCAAGATGTCCGTGTGACACACCACTTTTTGATGTTAATAGTGTCCGATTGTACGGTGATGAAATGGTGGTCCGTGTGATAAATGACTTTAAACCATCCGCGAATGTGAAGGGCTTCCTATGGGCAGTGACTTCACAAGTGTCATTAAAATTGATGAGAAACAAGAGAGATCCAGTCATATCCCCTTGTATAAAACCACTTGTAATTGGTTGGCAAATAAATTTTTTTGTTTTCGTTATGAAGTTAGTATGAGAAAAACCAGTTTGCATACTACGTTAAATGGATAACATTTAAGAAAACGATAACTTCCGAGAGACAGTAGCCACCTTCTTGTTTCCCATGTGTCATGCCAACAGGTAAAAGAATTGTCTCATGATGGCCCCTTGGGTGTTTTGACCCCACGCGTGCATTAACTGTACACAATTTATGTGCAAAAATAAGGTACAAGACGCTGTTTTCTCGCACGGGTTTGGTCATGTCTTGAGTTCAGCCGTAAACCTCCGCCCCAGCTTCAAAATAAATGTGACATGGAGCCTCTCTCAAAAGATCACACTGGACGTCACATACGCCAAGATCACCTACTTTAGGTTGCGGTTTTCACAGTGTAGCAAGGTTGGAGGTACTAAGGATGAGCTACACACAATTCCAAATCCTCATGGAACTACATTAACTACGAGCAAAGCTAATGTCTCCACCTCCCCCTGCACTATCTCTCTAATTTCTAAACTAGACATAACCAGCGAAACTTATCAACCTATCTTCGTAATCATCTGGTGGTTACATTTAAGTTATCGACAGTGCTGTAAGGGTTTAAGAAAGATAGAAAAATACGCACAAGAAAAATTCTGTTGCTAATAGGGACAGTATTAATTAGAACCAGTCCAAAAGTGAAAGGACGGTGTGCAGAATCTCCGAAAAGAAACTAAGCCATGAACAGTACATATAAAAAGGTGATATACCATTCTGACTCATAACCAAGTGTGGATATTAAGCATTTGGGCATAAGAGGACACCATCTTCCACAGAGGGTGTTCTGGAGACATAAGTGCTGCGAAGGTATAAACGAGAAGAAAGCGGAGGGTTGTGGACTGACAGTATCACAGAACCAAGAGTTAGGTCAGCATGCTGAAAGTTGGGTGTAGCAAATGGCTTTAGGTGAGCCAGTTGCGAGCTGATAGTTTCGATGGCTTTCCGGCCAGGTGATGGCGTATCCCGATGTTTCAGACGCCATTGTTGAGTTCTGACTAGATACTCATAGTGGTTGCAGCGACGTTGATAGATATCATAACTAAAGCTGAAACGCACATTTGAGAAATTTTTTCTTCGTAGCGAATCAGAATGCTTACTTGCATGGTTTGGTTTCAAGCGCGAAGTTATGTTTCAGTTGTCAAGCCTGGGTTTAGCTGGGGAAAGGTTTCCTTGAGTATAGTCGGTGGGTTGCTTTAGTTCTTAAGGTAGGAGCCAGGAGTTGTGCATAAACTTTAACCACAGTAACTTTTTTAAGCTTTTTACCAACGTGGGTTGGTCTTATGTGTGGACTTATAGTTCAACTCTCACCAAAAAGGATGGGGTGCACCGAGAGTCTTATCCGTAACATGCTTATTAATTAACAGAGCGAGTCACCGGTAGACCGGCTAACTTGCGTTTTTATAATATCCACACTTAGGCTTTTCATAGTGTATCTGTACCGAATGAGCTGACAGTAACCGGCGGGGTGTGTGGATGGTAAACTCTTTTCTTCGTTGCTCACTAAATAACCTTCTATACTGTCTCCTGTAGGTAGTCGTTGACAAAACCTACCAGTTGACAGTATCGTCGCCAAACACAGACCCGCAGGTAGAATCTTGCCCCATGAGCCTACGAAGTTCCCGAAGGGAGCAAATTTTAAAAGTACTTCGTCTTATGATGGCGAAAAATACTTCATAGCTAAAGTGCCCGTAGTACACAAAATTGCTACCGGATCCAGGGGAAATAGGGGGATTCGAAAAGAAAATCCAACCGGAGGGCACGTTTCACACCTAGCCCTAACCGTCAGAAACAGACATCACAATAACTTAGAAGTATCCCAGATCAGACAATACCCTAGACCAATTTTACCTAGCCGCCAGAGTCCCGCAGGATGTCATGTAGCATACCGAATACCTTTATGTCTCATATATCACGTACACCTCATCCAAACCTACACCGACACCCCAACGGTCCTAGTCGTTACCACGAGAATATATATAATCCCTCCTTCAGTACTATCCCTACTTTTCAGTCATATCGACAATTTTGGGATTCTGTACAATATGTACAACCCATGGTACATGGGGTCGTTTCACCCCCCCCCCCAGGAACACAAGCCTGGAGCTACCATCCTTGATTTACGCCGGTCATAAACCACACTGTATGTAGCCAGTGAGAATGAACCACGCATCAACTACGTACATATGCTCTCGAAAAGCAGGCCAGATCGTTATGCACCGCTACTGAGCCTCAGCGTGTTCGTACTGTAAGCGGCACATCGCCTAGCTAATTAACCAACTAAACGCGCAAGGCATTGCGGGATACTTTACAAGCCATGATAATTTTTTCACACTTCTACTCGCTGGTGTACGCTCGTTTTCTGATGAAATTGCTGACTTGAGAAAGTTTCACTAACTAAACCTACAGTGATATTGGTCGCCGAATCATGGTGGCCCACCACTGATGCATAGATGGCTAAACCGGGCTCATAAGTGGGGTGGGGTAGTCTGCTTTATATATACAGTCTTGCTTTAGCTAATGAGATCGAAGATGGTACATTAAATGCTCTGCCTGACACCATAAGCTATTATGAACGATAATCGCTATAAAACCCCTGTAGATCGGGTTTATAGAGCGCTATGTTCAACACAGAAAACTTATGAGCATATGGTTCAGTCGTTTTCCCATGCTGCATCTACCAGTATTGACTTCAAATAGATTGCAGGAGACTCTGACCCCCCCCCCAAAAGCTAGCTGGGGAACCAGTTGTGGCTTACAAAGCTCTGATGGAATGCCTACTGTCGTAAATTTCTATGGGTGGAAACAATACGTTCACTCACCCACATGTGGAGACGGCACTCTAGATCTAGTTCCTTGCCTTGCCATAGAGTGACTACTCCTTCACTGTCCATTTCCATGCATCGCAGAAAAGCGGAATTAATCTATGTCACCCTTCAGTGTAACATTGTGGACCGGAAATGCATTGATTCAGATTTTCATCTTCGTTATATACCTGTGGATACTTACAATGGACATCTACTGACACCCCAGATCGTATACGCAAGCCCTTTTCTACTGTCAAAGCTAAAAACTGAAGAACTTTCTGGTAAATCACCATTATTATTTTTCCCTTGGGTTCCTGGTTAAACATAGGGCTTCAGCAGCACGTCTCTATTTCACTCTGTCCTCTGCAGTCTTCTCATCCTGGCTACGTGACTACCCAGAAGCTTTGATTCCTTCCGTTTATGATCCGCTCCATGCTACCCTCGGGCGGCCAACTCGTCGTTTCTCCTTTGAGTTCCACTAGACGGCTATATTACTCAGTGGCAAACCATTCATATAGGGGAACGATGTTGACTAGTTACTATAAATTACTTCGTAAGCAAGTGCACTCATGTGGCCAGGAAATTAAAATAGTTGTAACATCTACTCACTATTTACTCAGTCACAACCTATTAGCGGAAAATGAGTGTTGTAAGGCCAAACTGCGAAGAAACTTCTTCATCAATAAGTTCTCTCGCAACTGAAATAGACTTCCTGAGGAAATACTTACCGCAGGCTCATTATCTATCTTCTTTCTGCACTTAATAAACTCCCGACGGATGAAGAGTCCATCACTCGCCTAGGCACTATATATACGTTCTGGGCTAGTGAAAGCATACTAGGACCTCTAAACGTATAGAGTAAGGCTGTCATAAACCTCAAGTGCTTTTTACCTCAATGGACTCATAAAGGGTGTTTGGTTACCAGTCCATCTGGCCAGATTGTGCTGTGCAAATACATAACCAGTGTTCCCTTCAAGTTTATCAACAAAAACTGCCTATCTAATAACTCGCGTGAATATGAATAAATTAAAATTTACATATGGTTCGAATGACTTTAAAAAGACAAGAACTTCTCTCCTCCCGGTTCGTTTTACGTGGTATTTCATTGTCCAGTTTCTCCCTGCGCTTTTCTTTCTCTTCTCTTTCTAGTATCAGCCTGACGAGAAAGTCCTAAGCATTAGTTCGATCAAAATTATCAACTCGATGGAAATCCCACTTCGTGCCTAATACTGGA